CCCGCCCCGCCCGCGCGGGGACCGTGGACCAGAGGCCGCACCCTGGACGGAGCTCGGGTGGTGCGCACCAGTTACCGAAAGGCGGAGGGCCGACGGGGCCTGGCGTCGGAGCGTTTCTCCTTGGCACCAGCGTGTGCTCGCACCGGGCGCGGAGTTGGAGGGGGTCGCCCCGGATGAAGGGCACGAAGGCCGCGGGGACGCACTAGAGTTCGGTGGAGACTTTTTTTCTGCGCCCCCCACTCCGTAAGTTTGCAGACGCAGCTAGGAAGTGAGAGAGAGAAAGGGGGAAATGGGCCTGCTTTTCTAAGGCCAAGCGCCCGGGATGAAGCCGGGCACCTCCCTCCCTACCCCAGAAGACAGACCCCATGCTGCTTCTCCAGGGCCCCGAGTCTCACACTGGGAGATGGGGTGGAGATGCTGGCGATGGCTGATCGGGAATACCTGTCACGCTGTAAACAGTACACACAGCCCCCTGGCTGATTGGGTTCCTCCTTTCGCAATCTATTTCTAAATTGGAAGAGTTCGAGGTTAAAAGATTCTGATTTCCTTTCACTCCACCTCAAACATGAACTACAACGCAAGAGGATGGGCCACTTGGTAAAATCCCAGGACAAACAGTTCGGGCAGCAAACACACTTCGTCTTTATTCTAATGCACGTGGTTCTGTGAGAACTCCAAACGTCAGTCTCCCTGGGGAGAGAGGAGGAAGAAGGGGAGGGCCTGAGTGTGCTGATTTGGGGCCAACAAACTCCTTATGAATAGAAATGTTGGTAATCTTGAGTCATCTGACTGTGTAAGAAATAAGAACTTGGGAGGGTGTGACAATGCTGTTTGGTTTAAGGGAAGTTTTGGGGAGTTTCGTGAGAAGGTTTTGTCTTAAAACAAAAACTAGCCCCCTGCCTTCCTTAAATTGTGAGGTAGAACACTGATTTGTTCTGCCCTGCACTGAATACATTACAGGGTCTTGATAGATTGCCACTGATAAAAGGCAGGAAGCCAAGCCAAGTGCTAAGGAAAGGAGAGCCAGAATTCGTGAGCGAAGTCAGTGTGTGTTAAAACACAAGGATGTTGGATCCTGGCCACTGTATCTACATAATTACAGACCACACCAAGTGTGGCCCAGTGCAGGAAAAAAATTTTGAAGTTTTACCACTTCCTCGGATTAAGAAGGGAGAAAGTTCTTAACACTTATGAATGAAAAAGAAACAGGCAAGCAATCAAAATGAGGTGAAGAATGGTCACTACTTTAATAAAGTTTACTACAATAAGTCTATAGCTATGAATTGTTCACTCTGACAAGGGCTGTTTCTAATACAATATATAGGTTCAGTGGTATTATGTATAAATAAGAGTAAATATGTCTTTTACTTCCAGTATTTTTTACTTTAAAATATATAGTCAACTTTTGCTTAAATTACCATCTATGCACACAAAACTATAGCATACAGCCATTTAAAAAATATAAAATAGATCCACATATACTGATAGCAAAGTATGTCTAGGATAAGTGGAGAACATATTTAACATAAAATTACTTGTGGTAATATATACACATATTCACATTGTATATATAGAAACTTTCTGGGGGGAAGGACATGCACACACACACACACATGTTTGTACCTAGAAAATAATTTTGCCTTTGCACCTTATACCTGTAAATATAGTCTGAGTGTCTAACAGCCCAAAGAATGTATTGCTTTTATATAATAAAAATGCTAATTTAAATGTAAGATTTCTTCCTTTTTTCAACCTGACCCCCAAACCTCACTTCTCACAACTCCAAAAAGAAGAGCGAGGGGAAAAAAAAGTGTAACTGGCAAGAGTTTAGTCACAGGCCAGAAAACACTTCATAAATATAATAGCTTACTTTTTCATTACATATTTATCTTCTTCCTTTCTTGAGTATATATTAAAAGTTGCAAATTTTGCAAGAAACTACAACGCAAAGCAGAAAATTAACTGTGCTTTTAAGATACGTAATCTGGTACTTAAGTATTCAACGCTTGATATACTTACTTGTTTTACACTTGCATTCATGTTAGACTGTACGTCTCTTGAAGTCAGGGACCCTAACATGGGAAAAGCAGTGTCTACTTTGTAGAGGACACAAATGTTTAGCAGGTGAATGCAGAATGGATCGCTATCACTGAGAATTGATATGTTGCTTGGGGACACAAAGATGACTCTCCAGCATTTGTGTGGCATATGTGCTTTCAGTGGGAAGATCGGCCTGTGCCAGTTCTCTGGATTTACTTCTGATTCAGAAGGTTATCATTTTGGATGGCCTGAATTAAAGGTACAGTACTGCCTATCTATGCACAGAAAAGCTTATCTAGGGACACAACCCACCATGAACCAGATTCTTCAAGTCAAATATGCAAGTATTCAACAGTGATACTCACCAGAAACTATGTTGGAAATGAACTATACAACTTGGGGGGAATGGGTCCAGGAGGGGAAAAAACAGGAGAAAATGAGGGAGGGGGTGACACTGATCAAAAAGAAATGTACTCATTACTTACATACCTGTAACCCCTCTGTACTTCACCTTGGCAATAAAAAAGAAATAGAGTAAACTCCTAAATCCAAGGATTTAGGAGTTTAGTGCCTACTAAGTGCTATGAAACCTAAACCAGTGATTTACCAACTTCCTTACTGATAAAAAGAAGGGTTTGAACTAGATAACCTCTAAGGTCACTTGTAGCTGCAACTATCTGTTTCTAAAATTTTGGTATTCTCTCTTACATACTAAAGGTAGATATCTAGATCAATGGAGAGTAAATCATATACAAATAAGATAAAGACCCATTGACAAAAATTCTATGAAATCTAAGATACATTATTTTAGCCATATTAGACAAATTATACTTGCTATAAAATATAATGTATATTATTTCATATAAGAAAAATAGTAGGCTACTATGACAGCAGTAGATATTAAGGAAAATAATGCTAATCTAACTAGATAAAATATAGAGGATAGAATCAAAATTCAAATACCAACAGAAGCAGACTCACTGACCTGAAACAGTATGAAAAGATGTTATCAGAGAAAAGAAATCCATGTGAAAAGGATGCTAAAGATGTGGATAATAGAGATGGAAAATGAAGTTGACAAAAGAAAGTACGTTTATTAATATAAAGTTTTATAATTCAAAGTGTACATAAAGATTGACTTCCAATCAGTGTAATTTTTATTGCAGTGATAGAAATTTACATAAGGAAATCACCTCTTAGTACTCTTAAAAATTCACTCTCACCCCCAAAGACTGAAGTAACACACAATTTAAGTGGTTTATACCACTTTTTCCAGTGAGTCATCAGTGCAAATGGATCATGGAATCCAAAACTTTTGTCACTGTCTCTTATATTACAACTGTTGAAATCTTTATTACTTTTTGCAAAAGAGCAATTGGAATCAGAGAGGGAGGGACATATGGTATTACAGGAACTAGTGTGTTTACATAGTTCAGATCCTTTCACATTTGCAGACCCAGTTCTCGGCTGACACAAATCTCCAGAAATTCCAAGACCAATATTACCTAATTATTTTATGTGTAACCCTATATTTCTCATCATACATTTGAGGAGTCCTAGAGATCTAAATAAGTTTATTTACTTTCAAATGGTTGTAGGAACAAACTTCCAGACAATGTCACACATAAATTGGTTTTGAAGACAAAAAAACTACCAAGACCAAAGTATGTACTTAAAAACTTGTAAATTCCCTTCTCCTAGTAAACCATGCTTAAAGATTATAATGGCATATTATTCCTAGTTTTCGCTGTTACATAATTTATACTCAAGAAATTTATATGGAAAATATCTGTCACCATTCTAAGATACAATTTACTTAATAATACCCTTTGGTATTGTTTTATATGTTGTACAAACATGTCATTAACTAAAGTTAATGTCATTAACTGTCATCTACCAATGTCAATATTATAGTTTATCATGAGCATCAATCAGAACTAAACTTCAGAAGCCAGCTCTATGTAACTGAGCTTCAGACATAGATGTGAAAGTGGTTAGGACATATTACTTTATGGAACTAAAACCTTATGTCTTTTGGTCAGTCCAGACAAGTCATGTTAGGAGCAATTGAAAAATGTAGCTTTCTTATAAAAAAAAATCCTACTCTTTCCTTCCATGATCCTTAATATTTCATCTGTATTCATGGTCTATTCTCAAGTACTTATGCCATAAAAATTATCTACAGAAAGATAGTATCATAGTACATTCCCTACCCAAAATGACAATTATAATTTTTAAATGAAACCCAAAGAATTTATACTTTTATAACAGGCTATGAACTGATGAGTTAATTTTTATCTTAGCCCATGCTACTCCAGGATACATGACCATAATCCCTATTACACATGGATATTGGTAAAATGCCCAATATATCCAAAATTATCACACAGGTTCCAATTTTAAATGGAGACATACTTTATCAAAAAGCATAGGGTTGCCGGGTACCAGTGGCTCACACCTGTAATCCCAGCTACTCAGGAGGCTGAGATCTGAGGATCGCAGTTCAAAGCCAGCCCAGGCAAGAAAGTCCATGAAACTCTAATCTCCAATTAACCATCAGAAAACCAGAAGTGGTGCTGTGGCTCAAGTAGTAGAGCACTATCCTTGAACTGAAGAGCTGAAGGACAGCGCCCAGGCCCAGAGTTCAAGACCTACAACTAACCAGCAGTGAGTTTGAACTAAGAGCCTCATGGTTACTAGACAGTGCCCTACTGCTGAGCTATTCCTCCAGCCCATTCCTGTACTAGTTATTTTTGAGGTAGGGTCTTGATTCCCACCATGGCATGTGCTGGAACATGGTCCTCCTCTTTTCATCTCTCATCATATCTAAGATGAAAAGTGTGTGCCAACCACACAACCCAAATGTCCATTCACAGACGAATGCATAAAGTATGATAGCACTTCTTTAAAAAGGAAGAACACTCTAACACATGCTACAATGTGCTTGACCCTTGAGGACATTACGCCTAGTGTGATAGAAAAAGACAAATAGTGCTCATACATATGTGGTATGATTACACTTATGCGAGGTACTTAGAGTGATCAAAGGCATGGAGGCAGACAGACTGTGATGGCCATGAGCCAGGAGGAAGTTATTAGTCAATGGATATAGAGTTTTAATTCTGCAAGACAAAAAGAATTATAAATTCGAATGATAGCAAGGGTTGTACAAAATTATGGATGTTTAATAGTATTAAATTCAACATGTAAAAATGGTTAAGATGGTAAATGTTATGCATTTTATTTGACACAGTGAAGCCTGGGGGAAGAGAGTGGAGAATAGACTAATTGTCCTAGTGACCAAGGGAAGAGGAAAAGTAAAGAGTAGAAAAATGTATTCAATGTGGGAATCAGAAAAGAGAATGTTCAGAGTGCACAGTATTGTCGAGAAAGGTAACTGAAATAGGCATGGGATCGCAGGGAGAGGCACAGACTGTTAGAAACCCTGACTACAACAACGTCTGCGCACCAGGGTAGGTGGATTACATGCAGCAGAAGTACTCTATTGAATAGATTATAATAGCAAAATTTCGCAAGATTTTATTGTGGGTTAGATGGTATTTTAAACATTTCATTTTATTTAATCCTAAAATAACAAGCTTTCTGAAGAGATGCTATTATTAACATCCCCATGTTTCAGATAAGGAAACTTAGGTGGAAAGAAGGTAAGCAGTTATTCAAAGTAATTAAGGCAGGCAGCAAATAGTCTAGAAATGGAACAAATTCTTAAATATTGTTCTGGGCCCTTCACATGATCTGTACAAAATAAACCCTACTCACCCATCTATTCAGAAAGCCTACTGTATACCAAGAACTGTTCCAAGCTCCGCTAATTCAACAGTGCACAAAGCGAAGCCCTCACTTTCCACTGGAGGTACACATCACCAAACATTAACATTCCTGTGTTCTTTCAGTACTCAGCGCAGTGAACACCGAAAAGGTACAGTAAAGTAAGAAGCTAGTTAGAGAGGAAAGCTATTTCATTTGATCACAGGCTTTTCTAAGATGATAGTCCAGCAAAAACCTGAGTTAATTCAAGGTTTCAGCCATAAGTGGATTCATCTGAGGCTGAAGAAACTGAAGTTTCTGGGTCAAGGATGAAGCTGACCCAGCAACAAGAAGGCCTGGAGCAGGGGAAACTGGAAGGCTATTGAAGTGAGTGAAGAAGCAGAGACAGTGCCTCATTCCAATTGTTCCAGGTGGGACAAGAGGCCTTTGGAGGATTTGGAGCAGAACAGTGACAAACTCACAGATAGATAGATAGATAGATAGATAGATAGATAGATAGATAGATAGATAGATAGATAGATAGATAGATAGATAGATAGACAGATAGACAGACAGACAGATAGATAGATAGAGATGAATATAAAAACATATACATGTGAATGCATATGCATGTGTGTAGATATATAATTTGATATATACATGTGACTTGTGACTTTGAATTTTATGACCATCACCTCACCTTTCTTGATTCTCTAGAGTTGTGCTGTCATGTGACTACTGAACATTTGAAATGGGACTAGTCCAATCAAAGAGTGTGATTAAGTGTAAAATGCATATGTTAAGTGTATGTAACATTTACATAACATTTAAGAAAATACATTTAAATTCATTACATCAATGTTTCTTTCTTTTTTCTTTCCTGTGGTCGTGGGGCTTGAACTCTGGGCCTGGGCGCTGTCCCTCAGCTCTTCAGCTCAAAGTGAGCACTCTGCCACTTGAGCCACAGCGCCACTTCAGGTTTTCTAGTGGTTAACTGGAGATAAGAGTCTCATGAACTTTCTTGCCTGGGCTGGCTTTGAGCTGTGATCTTAGCCTCCTGAGTAGCTAGGATTACAGGCGTGAGCCACTGACACTGGCCAGCATCAATGTTTCTTCTCTCTCTCTCTCTCTCTCTCTCTCTCTCTCTAAGGAAAATGTAGCTACTAGATAATTTTGTTATGTGTTTGACTCAAATTAGATTTCTGTTGGCCAGCAGAAAATCTTCTCAACAAATCTTCCGAAAATCTTCGTGTGGGGTTGTCAGCATCAGAATGCTCTGAAAGCACAATAAAGTGTTAAGGGTAGGGTTTGCTGAGTCTTCTTCAAGAAACGTATTATTTCACAATGAGATAAAATAGTAAGATGGCACTCAGCCAAAAAAAAAAAAAAAAGTACTGTTCTTTGGGACATAGATAAGGCTATAAACTGGGCTGTGGTTTGGGGTTGATTTTCCTGGTTGAGGTGACGTTTGTATAAAGCAATCTGCAATGTTTCCCTCCCAGCCTGCCTCCTCCATCTCCTTATGTTCCAAACATACCTGGGCCACATTAAGAATGCACTTTTTCCCAGCCATGGAAGGTTTTATTCTTGCAAAGCACTCAGCCCTTTATAGATTTGAACCTCAGCCTATTTAACATGATATTGTAATTATCCGATCTACTCAAGCAAACAGATTCCAAATGTTAGTAATTACATCTATAATCATAATTATAGAATACTCCTGGTTCTCCTATGTAATCCAAAATGTGGCCCATTGGAATGGGCATGCTTGCTCTAACCAAGATATTTGTTTTTGTGTGTTTATATCTATGGAATACTTCACAAGGACATCACTTAAGTAATATTTTTATTTACTTGCAACAACATTATTTAAAAAAATATAAGACACTGGGCTTTGGTGGGAATGAGACAACTATATTATTGTATCCCCAGGCCTTGATTAGGAAAAAAGGAGAAAAAAAGAAAAATATTTGTATGGAATTTTCCTCTCATTTTTTTGCCTATTTGGCCCCCTTATTCTTTTGTGTGACAGGCCTGTATTCTCAATTGTCAGTCTTTGTGTTTGGAGTTTTCTCCTTTCTCTGAGTTCCTCTAGTCTTCTCTCTCTCCATGTCTCTCTCTCCCATCCTCCAAGGTCATCTTTATCTTAAACCAAGCAAGTTGTTTGTGTCTTTTTACAAAACAACTTACCTGAAGTAAGTTGTTACTTACAACTTTATGAACCACTCTTTTATTTTGATTTTTATTTTGAGTATTTTTATCTAAATATTAACTCTTTATCGCTCTATTATTCTTTATCACATAAAGAGTTTGTAAATATTTTCTCCAGTTGATTCTGTCTTCGGTCTGTTGACTGTTTCCTTTGCTGTGTGCAAAAGCTTTTCAGTTTGAAGTAATCCTATCTGTGTATTTTGGGCATGCTTATAGTTTTTGTGTCAGATAAAAAGAACAACATTGCCAGACTTACATCATGAATTATTTCCTTTATGTTTCCTCCTGGTAGTTTTATAGTTTCAATTCTTTAAGCTGTTTTGAGTTGATATTGTATTAACTTATATAAGGGTCTTATTCTTCAGAATATGGATATTCAGGGTTTTGAGTTCATTTAGAAATAAGCCTATCCTTTCCCCATTCCATTAATTATTGAATTCACTTCAATTAGCCTATCCACTGCATATGATACAGTTGACCCCTTCTGCCTTGAAATAGTCTGCCTCTCTTTTTTTTTTTCTTCCATGATGCTGTACTCTGGCTCTTGACTTCCCAGTTGGCTACTCATTCTCAAACACCTGTCTGACTTACTTGATTCTATATGACCTCTACACACTAGGGATCTCTGGTTCTATAACAGATACTTAGAAACTGCTTTTGCTAAAATGCATACTTCTTCCTTGGACCCATAAGTAAACTGCAAATGTAATTAAAGCTGTCCTTTACTCGACTTTCTCCTGTGTAATCACCATGGATTCTGGGAAGGACAGGAAAGAACAATACTATCTTTATGATGAGAAACTGAAACTACTCGCAAGGAAAGGAAGAACAGAGCTTAATAGGATAGATTATCCCCTAAGTGAGGACAATTACCTATAATGATGTGGCTCCATCCTGCAGCAGGCGGAATCATCTCATGGGAACCAGACTGCAGCCCTCAAGTGATGACAGCCATAACAACGTCTCCAGAATTTCTCATAGAACCAGAACTGGATGAGTGCCTGTGGCTCACGCCTGCAATCCTAGCTACTCAGGAGGCTGAGATCTGAGAATCCTGGTTCAAAGCCAGCCTGGGTCGGAAAGTCTGTGAGACTCTTATTTCCAATAAACCACCAGAAAACCAGAAGTGGTGCTGTGGCTCAAGTGGTAGAGTGTTAGCCTTGAGCTGAGGAGCTGAGGGACCAGTGTCCAAGCCCAGAGTTCAAGCCCCATGACCACACACACACACACACACACACATACACAGAACCAGAACTGTGGTAATAATCAACCAGGCTACATTTTGCCTGGGACTGTTTAAGTTTGTATACCTCTCTCCCTCTATCCCTAATTCTTCCTCTATTTAAACCTAAAGCTCATGTCAATACCCCACAAAATGGACTGCCTCTTCCCATGTCATACCTATGCCAAATAATAAATCTTTCTCTGTCTTTCACCTCCATTTATTTGTCTCTTTATTTGGGTATGAAGGCAAGTGGCTGGACCTAAGATGTGGCGTCTATGAAGTAGGTCTAGAGCTCTAGTTACAGTATCATCTATCTGTCTGTATATCTATCTGTCTATCTGTCTGTGTCTGTCTGTGTATCTACTATCTATCTGTCTACAAACACACACACACACACACACACACACACACACACACACACTTCTATGTGTATGTGTGTCTTCTTTTTGCCCAAAAGTATGGAAATCATCCATTCAACTATGTGCTAACTTGAACTAACCAGTTCCTATAGCCAAGAGTATTTTGATTGACCTAGATCAACTGCCTATGAAAAGTTTTAGGTAGCAATTTTCAAATGGATGTGAAATATATTGCTTTTGAAAAGACTACATTGGACACAGTAAAAAGAAAATGCAGTGTTAGATAAGAAACTGAAGTAGAAAGAACAGATCCATTGTTTAGACTTACTACAACGCAAGATGATGACAAAGGGCTTGCTATCTAACATTTGCTTCTCTGTCCTTTATCAAGTCTTCTGAGTAAGAATGATTGAAAGGACAATGGTAAAGAGGAAGAGAAGCACAATATGGAAAAAATGAAATTATAGTCCCCTGTGGAGCCAGAGAAGACACAGAGAGAGAATAGCAAAGATCTTAGTTGGACAAAATTGACTCCAAATTCTGAATCAGCCAATTATTATTGGTAATTGACAAGATGGTGGCCAGGGACAAGATGCTTTACTCAGCCCATCTGTATTTTAGATTTAATGTGATTTCTCACATAATAAACTTCATAATGAATGCAAAGTGCTTTGCATAGATTCAAGTACAGCCCAACATGAATAGTGGCTATAATACAATATCCTTTTCTGAGATAGGATATCATTATTTTTCACAGCATTATTTACCATAGCTAGGATATGGAACCAACCCAGATGCCCCTCAGTAGGTAAATGGAATATATATATATAGTGGAATTCTATGCCTCCATCAGAAAGAATGACATTGCCCCATTTGTTAGGAAATGGAAAGACTTGGAAAAAATTATATTAAGTGAAGTAAACCAGGCCCAAAGAAACATAGGTCCCATGGTTTCCCTTATTTGCAATAACCAGTATATGTTTAGGACAAGCAGAAAAGGTCAAAAGTTATGTACATATGACCATATAGGATGATGTTGAGCGAAATGAACCTGAAGATAGGGACACAAATGTCATTTTTCTTTCTTGCTATTGTTTCGAACATATTAATAATGTACCATGTGATTTTGTTGCTTTGTCTGTTCCTCCCCCATGGTATAACCCTTGTTTTCACTGTATTTGGTGTCAGTGCCCTGCATCTTGTGTATCCACTTCTCTAATTCTGGGAGGGGAAGGAAAAAACAAAATGCTGAAATAAGGATACAGGCTGACCCATTGTAACAATGAGATGTACAAAACACTATGT